GAGACAAAGCCCAGTACATCCAAAATGAATTTGAAGGGACGAAGCGCCTGCTGAGTTATACCTATATCTAAACGTTGGTTTTTAATTTCACAGAGACGAAAATTTTCTATAATTAAAGAAACGGAAGTTTTATTTATAGTTAAAATTACATTGCATTTTGTATAGTTAAATAACGAAAAATATGTATCATAACTTTTACAAATTTTTGGTTAAACAATACAAAATTATGTTATGAAAATCATTCGTGCTGATTACCATAAATACAAACTTCAATCATATTCTTTTTATTAAAAAAAAACTTACTTACGCAATCTTCAATAAATATCTAAAAATATATAATTTATTTTAATATATGCCATTCCAAGATTAATTTAAAAAAAAAAACAAGTCAAAACGGAATTGTCAAGCATTCTGTTGTAATATGGGCCACCAACATTCTTTTATTTATCATTACTAGGAATTTTTGAGTATACTCGTACATATATAAATATGTGTGTGTGTGTTACCTATATTTTTTAATAATATAATAATTTCTGAGCAAATGGGAGAAAATTTAATTAATCTGGTGTGCTCATCACGCAAATAAATTAATTAATATATTTACTTAGAACCTGGAATTAATTAATAATCCCGGGACTTACGAACATAAATCCCATTTGATCTGAAACATTATTGGACTACTGAAACACATTCTATTGCTCATTCCGTCAACTATAAACGTAGTAGAATTCCCCAGTAATATCCTATCTCCATTAATGCATCTAATATTGCAAACTAACCTTGTTCTAATTGAACGCATTGGAAAAGCATTAGCCTTGAGCAATTTGAGTATTCCAATTCCTCAATCTGAAACGCATTTAGTGACTTCACACAATTTGAACTACCGTAACTTTGTCTTTGCATAGTTTTCCTTGAAGATATCTCAAGTTTGTAGAATGTGATACTGTATAACATTAAGAAAAAGTGTGTGTGCTATACACGCACTTTCTAATAATTAACTTACATCTAATGATCTATCTATGCCTTATTCAAAAGTTTATTTTTATTAAACAAGATATCTGGACATGTTATTTAACTATATATATATATATATATATATATATATATATATATATATATATATATATATATATATATATATATATATATATATATATATATATATATATATATATATATATTCTTTATCGCACTTGTAAGTTACATATAAAATAATGTATTTATAAATGTTGTGAGCAAGGGTGGACTTATCTCTGACAGAGATCTCTTCCAGTCAACCCAGGTACAGTAAGTGGGTAGCTGAAGTGCTACAACTATTAATACATAAACAAATATACAGTTAAATAAAATATTAAAATATATAAACTATATATTTTGGTATGAAATTATATGTATACAAAAACAATTATTTTTTTCTGTTAATTAAAAATTATTTAAGAATTTGTTAAAAATCAATAACAAAATTCGATTTTAACAAAATTTTCATGGAATCAATTCGGAAGCAAAATTTATCCATTGTAAAAAATATCACTAATATTGGATTAGAATAAACGACAATATTACAAAAATATAGACAAATCCCATACTTCACGCAGTGTCAACAACCTCCGTCTCAAATTTCCCACTCACTCCACTTCCTTTTATTCTAATTCCTTTACTGTACAAGCAGTTCGCCTATGGAACTCACTACCCACCTCTACTTGGTGTGCTCAATCTCTCGCTAGCTTCAAAACCTCTGTTAAATCCTATTATCTCTCCCTTTAAGTGCTATTTTCCCGTGTTCTTCTTCTTCTTCTTCTATATATATATCTTTGTATATGTTTGTTTATATATAATAGTGCGCCACCTACCCTTTGTTTTTCTTTCTTTTCTCAATGTCCTCTACCCAAAGGTTGTCTAGAAGAGATTGCTAGTAGTAATAAGGCCGCCTTTTGTATCATTTCTCATTACAATTAAATGTATTTACTATTTTATAAACGGTACAATAAAGTGTAATATAAATAAATAAAATCCCAGTCACTTTGATCCACATTAATAAAACGATCTCAAATATAACAACAATCTTGAGTGTACATTAAAGAAAATATTAATTGACAATTAAAATAACATCTTAAACATTTATTCGATGTTGTTATTCACTTAGATGTACGAGTACTTATTAATACAGATCCTAGTTTTTAAAATGTAAATTGCAAATCATCGTTATATATTAAGTAGGTATAACTAAAAATAATACCTTTCAGAAATAAATTCATTCCGATAACATTCTTAAGTATTGATGCTCTATGTAAATTTTGCTGAAGTTTGTAAGAACATCATAAAGTTGTTAGATAAACAAACAACAACTGTTCTGAAAGCATAACCTAAGTAGTATTACTTAACGTATTCAAACCGAATGTAACCAAGTACTTTGATTTGCTTTTGTTATTAAGTCTAGACATACGCGTCTTTCAAAAGATCATTTTCTATACAGTACTCACGTATTATAGTACTATAATATGAATTCGTATTATGTTTAACTTTCTTAATTAATTCGTCTCTATTCTACTTTTAACAAGTTTTTGTCCGCAACTTCGCACGAATAGGTCAGAAATAGGAAAGCTAATAAAATATACCACTATTATATGGCGTAGAAGCTGAAACATATACCAGTCTTTAAGCGAGACCTTCAGAAATACATCAGTAAAAACCACATTCAATTTGGTGCAGTATTTTTACGTGATGCTAAAACAAATGTATAGACAGACTGAGAGAGAAAAAGCAAATAAATTTTAGTTTTAGTTTTTATTACTCCTATTCAAACCCCTTACATATATTTTTATATATCTTTCATGTATAGGCATCGTTCAATTACAATATAATTATATTAATAAGATAGTTTTGCTATTTTTATTAAAAGGGTTGACTACCATTATATTAATTTTATAAAGATTATATTGATTTGTTTCTTATGAAACAATCGGGCAAAAAAATTGTTACGTTTACCACAAATATAAATATATAATGTGAGCAAATATCTCTGACTATCCATAGTTAAAGGATAGAAAAATTGGTAGAAAGAGGTGAATATTGTATTATACTTTTCTGCCAATCCCATAAAGGACTTAGCGTGAAAGTAGAAAGTAAGATAATTATTGCAAATCTGTGTTGAATATTAAACACGTTGTTATATTCTTATTAACTTTCAATTAATAAAAAATATTCTAGCTTTCAAAAAATAAAAAAATGTAATAAAAAGGTTAATATAAAAATAAGAACTTCTTTTACAAATGGTGACGTTTAATTTTAGATGTATTGTAAAAGATTATAATTACAATAAATTTTACCAACTTGCATACTTTTTAAACTGACAAAAAAAGAAGTTTTGTAAACAATAAAATATTATTGTTTACAAAACCTCTTTTTTTTATTCTAGTGTCACTTCCATACTAATTATGTCCCGATTTAAGCCAGTTTTCTTTATGGAATAAAATCTTGTTGGATAAGAAGTCCAATAACAAGCAAGGGCTGGCTCTAATTTACTTATTAAGTTACACGGTCTCTGAAAATATCTATTAAATTTGTGTAAGTTTGAATAAATTAGATCTACGAGTATAACATTTTGAGAAGGATTAATGATTTAATAAATGCTAAAATTAATTGATTTTGTTAAAGTACCCTTTCACTTTGACAAATATTTATAACTTGCCGTTTTCAAAACTCCTTATTAAATAATGACCCATGAATGAATTAAGAGCTTGTTCCAAGAAAAATATCAATTTAAATTATAAATAAATTAGTATAAGATTAATACGTAGTTATAACTTTAATTATAGGTAAATTAGGATATTAAATAAAGAAGCATTATAATTAGTTCAGAATTGTGAATCGAGTATTTTTCATACTACGTACTAGAAACCTTGACCCCTTCTTATTGTAACATTCTCTTACTATTTTCCTAACAAAGCGTATATTTACAAAAGTAACGATGGAAAAATAAATAATAATATCTAACGAAATATGAAATAACTGTGACATACTACATATTGATTTTGCTTTCCGTTATCAACATAAACCTGGGGAAAATGTGAACAGAACTCGTGCGTTTTAATTTAATATAGCTCAGTCTAGAATTAAATTTTAACGGTACTTATTGATTGGGGGCATCAAAGGAAGTATCCAAGTAAAGCGTAAGAAAGATGTCAAGCAATAAATGCAATTAAATTGAGACTATACACTATTTTGCAATCAATAATTTAAGGAACTAGGGAAAACTATTGTCTCTTGTATTATTTGCATTGAAAGTCATTTAATTTTAAACTTATTAACATTTATTATCTATTTATATTTATATATACATATGGTCCAAAATTTATAATATATGGCCAGACAGATACACATGATGAAATTAATAAGGTTCCAATTTAGCTATTGACTTCGGAACTTGACACACACACACACATATATATATATATATATATATATATATATATATATATATATATATATATATATATATATATATATATAAAGTAATACATAGGCTACTATTTTATGTTTTTTATGTATGTTATTTACCTTATAACTCCACCAGTTGTAAGCCGATTTGGATTTTTTTTATCTGATATAATATATTTATTGGATATACTTACAGATGGAACTACCATCAAAACTTTATCGAAATCGATTAATTCAGTTTTTAAAGAAATAATTTGTTTTGCCATAATAACTAGTTTACTCATACGTAGAAGGTAAACAAATCGAAGTCTTAAACTACTTGAGTTGTGAAGAATGAGAAAAAACTATGAAGAAAAAAATATGATTTTTCTTTTTTTATAATGGATAAACTCAAAAAATACTTAACCTATTTTTAAAATTCTTTCACCTATAGAAAGCTACATTATCAACGACTAACATAGGCGTATTTTCTTTGAAATAATAAAATACCTTCTTTGTATGTATTCGTGTGAATCCGGTACGGGTTGCAAGTTAATTTATAAATTTATGTAAATATGTTGCAGCCGGAGAAGCAGTGCCTAGCAGAGGAGTCATGTGCACGGCGTGCCAGTAGGACGGACCGTACAACTAGAATGCTGCTAGCAGTCCTGGGCCTATTCCTGTCGACAGAGGTCCCCCAAGGCCTGTTAGGCCTCGCCAGCGCCCTCGCGCCGGACTTCTTCAAAAGCTGTTACAGCATGTTCGGTAAGGTGACCGGATATCTCATAAAAATTAATGAACACCACAGATAATAGATATTATGCCTGACTAACTATAAATAAAATCAAAGTAGTTATAACATGTAATAATCGTCATAGTCGTAGAATAATGACGGATCTGACAAATATTACATATAAAGATTCGTCAGTATTCTACGACTACGATGTAATGTTGTTGAATAATTATACTCGTATTATTCTCGGGTACTCGTTTGAAATTTGAAAAATAATCTAAGTATCTAAATAAAATCGATATAGGCACATATATCGATACTTAGATTATTTTTCAAATTTATTATAATTTAATTATTCTCAGTCATTCACGAATACTACATATAACTGGATTGCCAATTATTTGCTCTATTTTAATTATATGTATATTAGTATATAATAGGACAATATATTTACATACAAAACTCGTCATCTTTGCTTTGTTTCCTTAGTTTTATTGTTTATTAGCTAAACTGTCAGACATCATTCTGACCGATTTCCACTTCTTTTTTTCCTAAAAATCTTATTATTTGTGTAATTAAAAGAATCCAAATCCATCCGTTCTCAAGTAATGCGTGTACTAACGTTTACATCATTGCAAAAGTATGTAGGTAAATACTTAATTTACGTACACCCATAACCATATATTCCTGACAATATTATCTAATAAATAAACACAATATATTGTGTAATATTAGAGATTCTCTTTTCATATCCTTTTTATGTCAAGAAACAAACGGTGGCCAAAATGTATTGTGACTGAAGTAGTAGATAAACTAAATTATATAATTTTTTATATAATATTGTTACCGTGTCTTGTTTTTTATAACAAATTGCGTAATAAGTAATACATATAGAAATCATAGACAAATATCCTGCTGCTAAATAAGTATAAGATGCTTTTAGTTATGACGAGTGATATGGTGACGAAGCATAAATACAATAGCGTCTCCACTACCATTAGACGCTGGTTGTAAGAGATGACAAAGGGAGAAAGCACAACTAATATAAGGAAAAATAAAATATGTCCTTTCGCTTGATTGACGCAATAATACGCTAATGGCATATAAGTATGGGGAGACCCTTGAGACATCATTATTATCTGATTTTAATGACAATAATCAAAATACCTTAAATAAATTGACCTGTCACTGATAACTTTCTTTATTGGGGGGAAAGGGATTATTAGTAATAGCCTGTCAGGTCGACCTCCACGTGGTCCCATCATTGTTAATTCGAGTTTAATTCTTCATGATAGGTCAACTTTCATTTCTTCCATAGACTCCTCCTCATCTATCATACTTCACTGGTGCTCCGCCAGTGTATACCGATGGTTTTTTTTTTTTTTTTTTTTATACAACTTAGAATAGCAAACAAACTGACGTTCCACCTGATGGAAAGTGGTAACCGTCGCCTATAGACATGAGCAGTACCATGGACATAACAGAGTATACTGTTTCGCCCATGATACCCCCCAGGCGTTGCCATTCCTGAGGACTTAGGTGTTATTCCTCTGTACCCAGTAAATTCACGCCATATCCCACCCTTCAAACCGAAACACAGCCATGCAAACACAACTGCTTCACGGTTGAAACACGAATGGGATAGAGGTACCCAAGCAAGTTCAGGCGAGGTTACCGTACCAACATCACGGATTAAAAACTTCCTTTTTTTGGAGCTTTTTAATTTTTATCTTCTCTATATATTACATTATATAGCCACACTTTATCTACACATATATGCAAAGATTATATAATAGGTACTATTTTATATGGTTAAAAAGCTTTTCTCTACATTTTTGTAATATAATAAAAATATCTCTATAAAGGTACTCAAAGAATACCACTGCGCATAATCTGCTGCTATGAGTTGGTTACCTTTTCATTGTCGTAACACATAAAGTTACTTACGCTTTTATCTGTATTATTTTAAACGCCTTTAAAAAAAGTGATTCTCTTTATACTTGAATTTACTTTTATGGCTATTCGTCATTTTATAGTATTCTAAATTCAAATATTTTAAATACAACAATACAATGAAGAATGGCGTCTTCGTTTCGTTATTCCTCGATGTATTTGGTATGTATTATACACGTATTGAAGTCGCTTAACGAAGCATCATTTACTTATTATAACTTTTATGTGTGATCATAATAGTGACTGCTTTAATATTATTACTTATACTGTGGTGATAACTAAATGTGTGTAGGTTTACTGTTGTACTACAACTATATTCTGTGACACAATAACTGTTTCCACCAAAATACACGCCATAAACACAACATGTTATGAACTCATTTTGACGGACACAAGGAAGGCTTAGAAATGTACTTTATTTAGAACAACTCGTGGTACCCGAATTTTGCCTCTTGCATCAAAGACTGCACTATTTTACTCATTAGACTGATATACAAAAAAAATTGTTTTAATAAATAGTTTAAAAAAGAGGTACAGAGAAAGGTACGGTCACATATAAATTACTATATATATTCATTGGGGAATTTAATGGAAATCTGTAAAACAATAAAAAAAAAATAGTAAAAAACATATCGGTTTCGTTAAAGTGGGCACATAAAGTTCCTATATTACTCGTGTAACAGCCAAAAACTGCGCCAAGAAACCCATAAATAAACCGTTCACATTGCTACGTAAATTAATTTCACGATCCATCAGTTTAACAAGCAGCTGTCTAATCAGTTTTAGCCACAACATCAAAACTTTATTCGAAAATAAAATGCTATTACAAAATTGTTTTGACTAAATATTAAAATTTGTATCTTTTACGACGTAACCTACAAGGTAGAATTAATTTACGCATGTTTGAAAAAATATAAATAACTACTTATTAACACCGATAAATATTACAAATATCTTTTATATAGAATAATATATCACGGCGGAATAGAGACTCTTGCGAATTACAATCACCAGCGCAAATATTCTTTGTAATAGTTTATGAGAATCATAAAATATATCGGAACATTATTAGGTATTATATATTATATTACAGGTTACCAAGCGAGTTTCTAAAAGTGTAACAATTCTTAGATAGCGCTTCATCATCATCGTTTCAGACATTTATTAGCTACATACCGATGAAAAATAGACTGTTGCTAAGAACATATCTACTATTTATTAGTTTAGTAGATATATTCGTTTACTGTTACTAAATATCTTGTCTTACTACCATCACTATTATTGCAAGCATGTATAGATGGCAGTGGTGACTTACCATCAGGCAGGCCGCATATACTTAATAGTTCATGGTATTAAAAAAATCAATATAGATCCACCGCATTTCTTTAATCATATGTATTAAGGAAAGTATATAAAAAAGTAGGTATGTAGGTAGGTATGTTACAAACATACAGGTACCTAATATCCAATCATTTTACAAAAATATTAATTAATACTCGAAATTGATAAAAATATTTCAAATTCAAAACAGCGCACTGCGGATAGTCTAGAAAAAAAAATCAAATTAAAACAGTAAATAAGACCGAACATTTCAACTTTACTTCATTCGAAAGTAATTACAAAGTAGGATTAAAAATCAATTAAACAGTTTCCGTAACAACGAGTAGCTAATAAAGGGGCAAAGAACAAATATATTTTAGACGAGTTTTTTTACGCTTCATGAGCTTTTAGACTTAATATTTCAGTTCTCTTTTTTTACCTAATTATAATTTTTTTGATGTTATGTTTGTGTCATTTTCATTTTATCATAAAATAACTGATTCTTTTAGGAAAAAATACCTTTATTAATAATAAAATCTATTCACTTTGCCACTGGTTTCCAGCCTGGAATTGAAAGCTATTAGCAAATCTAATAGCTTAAGTAAATATACATAGTACACTAAACTGGATGAATACCAGTAAAATAAAATCATATGAAAGAATTATTATTTATATTATATTCATCTGCAGCAAATAAATAACCATTGTTTTGGTAGTAGAAACATCAAAAAGTGTATTGGTATATACTAAAACTAATTTTCTTTCTTGATACTTTTAAATTAATCATTATTGTCTCTGGTTTATTACAGTAAGTCATATGAATTTTATCGGTGGAGTCAATACGTACTTAAGTAGATACCTCAATTTTTGAAACAAATATATCTTCCTTCTGTTAGAGTTGAACCCTATGAATATTAAATTTATTATATAAAATGTAGTTTTGATGATTATAACAGTAGATCTCATATTAATGAATAGTATTCACGAGTTTTCAATATTTATTTCAAATTAATTGATTGAAAGCTAAATCTCAATCAAAGTAGTTTAAAAATAATATAAACGTAATAGGTTATATTAGAAAAGCCTGTTACATATGTAAATTAAAATATTATTATTTTGAATATTAAATGGAGATAACTAAGTTGTTTACACAAGTAGTCGATTTTATGTTTACACAATAAACGCCAATTGAAATCTATAATAAATACATCATATGTAACTGCGAAAAAAAATACTGATTTCAGTTACTCTAAATGTAACTAATTGCAAAAAAGATTACAATATTATTATAAGTTAGATCCAGTACAGTTCGCTAAGAAAAAGATTGATTTGTGATATTATGAATCGAATACATTAACGAGTTTGATGAATCGTTTCAATACAAATAAATAACATCCATTAACGATCAATAGAATCTGTGATTTGTGGAATTGCTTATTTTTCTTTAACATTAAAAGACGAAGAGTCATAGGCTTTTGAATGATGCTGGTTATTTTGGATACTGTATGCGAAAGTACAGAATAATCTCTGAGTAATAAATAACAAAGACTCTTTTTTATACAGTAATGATACATTGTACTCAATTTCATTGCCAAGATATTTTATTTTTTAATTGATGAAAATAGAATAGTAGCCTCGCCGGCGCTGTTAGTACAGTGAGGGTGATATCAGGTTAGTTGGTCCATCGTGACGAATTTACCAGAAATTAACCGCGGATCACCTGAATGTTAACCTAATCGAGTATATTACTAATAATGAAACTGCTATTCCTTATTAGAAACAATCCTTTTCCCTTGTCTCCAAAATGTGAAAAGAGACGATTGGATACGTCTGTTAAAGAAAATGAAACCTCAATATTAAATTCTATACTAAACTATATGTATGTACTATTCTTATATCTTATTACTAAATGTAAAAATAAAACCCATGCCCTGCAATGAGACATTACTATGTATACATATACCAGTATAACATATATATGAAAGAAATTAGGTTATGATGTGCGAAAGTGTTATGAAGAAGGTAAAGAAATATGTTGACGTATGACATTGGGATTGCGGAACCACGTACCTAATCCAATTTAATTAATCTTGCCAATCACAGTGACAGTGTATGTCCCAATTTTATACAAAGTCATCACGTCACATTAAGCCAAGCTTAAGTAACTTTATTCTAGCAGCCCCGTTCGTGTTACCATCATAAATTATTCATATATATTTCATTTCCTTATTAATATATGGTATAGTTTATTTTCTAAAATAGTTTTAATAAGAAATTTATTTTTTATGTTTTTCATAATATTGTAAATATAAACCTTAATAAAATAATAAAAATACTATTGAGGATAACATTCGACGTTCTAATAATGCACTAAATATTCTTCTGCTTTTATTATTTATTATATATTGACCACTCAAATGCACCTACTTCATGTGCCGTTCATTAGCGCAAAGCGCTTTACTCGATCGCTGCTACATTAGTCCGCACTTGACCAGCTCTCTAATCTTGCAGCTAGCTTTAAAAGGCTACCATAAAGTAGCAAGCGGACGTGACAAATTCGCAAAAAGCAGCTGCTTTTGCGAAGTTTTTGACAGTTTATGGCCGCCTTATTTATTTTCTTCTTCTTTTATCATGTACTTCCCTTAATTAAGACAAGCATAACGATACCCCATTTATTAAAACCCTGCAAATCGTTTATGTATTTTGTATACGGAGCATATTTATAAGGATAGCCAATATTTTTTATAATTAGGTTCGAACGAAAATTACATTTAACTAAGAATAAATAAACCTACAATCCACATACTTAAGTCATATCTACATTTTTAATAAATATTAATAAAATTCCATTTTGAAATGTCATGGAAATTTTATATTGTTTTGTGGCAATTCAAAATTGTTCGTTTTGTTCAAATCTGGTTTTAATTAGTTAGAAAACAGTAATATAGTTTACGTTAAAATAATAAGTCTTTAAAACAGAATAAAAATGAAGTACAACATAATTCATAAAGTTTTAGCGGTTTACCTTGTGTACTTGCTTAAAATTAAACAAATTTTAACTTACAATATACCTGCACGAATATAAACACCTACTAATAATATAACGAATCAAGTACGAGTAAAACTCGCAAACTGAGAATTTTGTACGAAAATAAATGTTATACGTAAAAAATATCCTACTAAAGTTATACCTAAGTAGATAAAAAGAGGACTTACAAAAACTAAAAAGATTAGGAAAATTTATTTTCTTTTCGACCATATTTCTCGACGATATTATCTATCCTCGAATGACTGTAGATATATGAATGTAAATATTATCGGTGTTTAATAAATAGCCTTTTTTAAATAGAATGTATGTACACTTTATAAATTATTATAAGTAAACTTACATTTATTTCGGGACTCGATATGATTCGATTAGTTCTGCCGTAGCTTTGTCGTAGTGCAATCCACGTCAAAGCTTTGATGAGAACTTAAATTTAGTACACAGGAATGCCTATTATTTTTTAGGAGTCATTTACCTGTACTGACGTAGCTTGTTTTATAACGACTGTAACACTTGCATTTAGTTAACAGTGAATTTCTTTAACAGGTGACTTGATGGACGTTCTAGCGCTATTCACGTCCTCTGTTAACTTCGTGCTGTACTGCAGCATGAGTAGGCAGTTCCGTTGCACGTTCGCCAGATTAGCGCGACGCATGCTGTCCGCTACCGAGGAACCGGCGAAGTTCGCTACGAAACTCGAGCCTACAACGCAGGTATCAGAAGGCGAGATTCCATTGTGTAAGTGACCATACGCCAATAGTAATCCACGTAGAATTGTAGCTATGATGTAGGTATGCTTTTTATTTAATTTTTTTTTTATATTATGTGCAAAAATAGTACAGCCTAATAAATAATTAATTGTACTGTATTTTTTAAATAAAGATTGCTAGACTAAAACAGATTTAACTGTACCTAGAATATATATCGCCACTTTTATTTATCATAAACGCTTTTATAGCACATATATGAGTAACTTATGTAGTATAATTATCATTATGTGCATGTCTTGATTATTAAATTACACAAGAATGTATACCTACACCGTAACTATTTATTTCAGTTTATACATCATATTGTACAAATTTAAGTAAAAAATTGACTGTCTAGTCATTCGCACAATGGAATCGTTTATAATTTTATTTTATATTTATTATGTGCACAAAATTATGTTAATGAAGTAAAAATAATATAACAGTGAGAGATTTTAATAAATTCAATATGGGGGTACCTGTATAGCGTGTTTTTTATGGTAAAGAACTGCATAACTGTCCACACATAGCAATATTTTAATTTAAAGGGTAGGTAGTAAGAATAGCCATAAAATTACAAATTAGAAGGTATAAGACCATATTGTTTATATAGGCGTCACAGTGTATTCCGTGAAACCTTTATAGCAATAATCGCCACTTTAAATTTAAATTGTGTAAAAACGTAACAAATATTATAGTTGAGATGTAATTATTTTAGAATTATACAAATACATTTGAAGATAGAACAAAACAAAATATTTAGGTATAAATATGTTGAACCACATGTGTAGTTCATCTTTATGACACTCAGTGTAAGAAACATACAAGGAAATGATATATTATGGTAACATATTTATCATAATGGAGTTTTCTGTGCAGTATTTTTCTATTTTCGGACATCTTCCATTGTTCCTTTATTTACTCTTCTACCAACTAAGATGCTATAACTAATTTTCTAAGACAATAAAACACTACAAGTATGTTTACAACTTATTTCTTAAATGAATTTATCTGACAATGCTCTCAGTTTGAATCAAAATAATAGAGAGTATGACAATTTCGCAATTGCTTCAACTACAAACATATTTTTCTGCTAGACATTTATTGTTCTTGTTTATTGAACATTATTATCTATTGCATTATAAAGTTACAAATGATTTTTCAAAATCCTTATTAAATTATAAATATGAAAGTGAGTTTGTTTGTTACCTTACAGCGTCTATATACACGTAGTTTATGGGACGGAGAAGGATGTAGGATATTTTTAACTTGATCAATAAACATATCGTGATCACAGACAAAGTTACGGGTAAAAGCTAATAATAATATACTAATCTAAGTTTTAGCTTCATGAAAAAAATAGCTAAACACTCGGAAATAATAAAATCAAAACTCGTATTTATTTAACAACTTTTTAACAAAAAAGCAAATACGTTTAACACAGGAATAAGGCTTAAGTTTACAATTTTAAATGCCAATCTACATGCCTTTATAAGAGAAACCAGATGACCATCTGACCAAATGAAATTTTGTGAAACTAAATGCTTATAAATCAATACCTGAACAGTTAAATAAATTTAAACAGAATTTGGTATATAAATAAACAACATTATATCGTTAGTAAATATTGAGGATACTTTTAATATATCAAAACAAAAACGCGGCTGTACCAGGATTACTCCAATAATTACTGTTCTTATGACATTAATATGTCTATCCGTATTAGTAATACAAAAGTGTTTGCTAAATCAATCACGTCCATTCGTCTAAATGAATTGAGATGAAATATGGCACACAAATATCATTTCCTGGATCAACGTAATATGGAACATATTGTGGATTTATATATTGTAATTGCTTTCACATGTATCCATTATTGTATTAAATTTTGTAAGTACCTAATATTTTTATACTAATGTAGCACATTTTAATAAAATAAAATGGTATATATTCACTCCTTTTTTATGCAACTTAGAATAGCAAACAAGTTGACGGCTCGCCTGATGGAATGGGGTAACCATCGTCTATAAATATGAACAGTCCTTACAGTATCTCTTAGAAAATCAACCAATAGATGTATCGAATGCTAAAGACTTCTATACTTGAGTATGTTTTGGCTTCATCAAATTTCATATACTGGTGGTACATATTGTGATCCTTCCGGCAGACAACACACAGTCTATCTGATTACCATAGTTACTAGGCCTTCCCGACATCTGCATCCTTTCATTTTCACATTGTATATCCACTTCATCGCCTTTTCATGCAACATTCTTTCCACGGGCCTAAATCACAGAGCAAATAATCACTACATTATATGGTCTGAAACAACATAATAAGTCGTTTATCATTTTACTAACACCAATATTTAACTAACACTTAAAATAACTTTTTCAAACTCTTTCTCTCACTCCATGGTTTTCTGTGTTTTAGATGCGGTCTACCAACTTTACTCTACAGATTCTGCACAACGATAAAACAAAATTAATAATAATTAACCTAAACTGAGTAAATAAAGTCTTTGATGTCGTTTTTCAGAAATAAAAAGAAACCAATAAATCGACATTTTATTGGAGTAAATTGACAAATCTTTTAAGTAAATGTCTTTTGTTAGAGCCTACTTTTAATCCCAAATCTCTTTGAGCCTCGAGTTCAGTTCATTGTATTTGTTTTCTGTATTACAATAAACATTTGTTAGGTATTAATCATTTTGAAAGTATCTATTAATAATAATTGTTATTTCAATTTTATCCCTTTATTTATTTATTATCTTATAAAAATAAATTACAACACGATGTAGACATTTTAATACAATTACTTCAAAACTTATAGATAAAGCTCGTTAACCAATAAATATTGCCAGTGATGAATTGCAAAACAGAAACATCGTCCTACATTGTTAACGATTCCAAGTTGCTCAGTGAGCTATAAAGAAATCTGTGAAGATATCCGTAAAATAACCAAAGTGACCGATATAGCTCGAACAATCATGTCTAACAAAGTAGGCCTAGAAACATATAATTACAATGTTTCACTTTTACTCTTCATTTATTTTACTCTCATGGTTAGTGTAGTAAGGGCGATAACAGTAAATCAAATTACCTAAAATAAATAATAAAAATATTATTTAAAAAAAAACATAAAAGCTAAATAAAATATGATGCTGCCGACATTATTTAGTTAAGCTGTTACGTTGAGCGATTTATTTTCTTTGGTATTTCATTTTGTTAGTAGAATTATGTCGTTTGTATTGTTGTAGATAAATAAAATGGATAAAGATACAATTCTCGTTATTGCTATTGATTGACGCTAAATTCTTAGCTGCTCCTACGCTTATATCGGAAACCCTTACGCTTGCCAAACTTTATCTTCCCTCATCGATCAACTGACGGATAAGTGACAGATAGACACGTCCTTAGCTCCCTCCATAATAACACATGTTTATACAACTACATAACCTGCTTAGAATCTGTTTTCAGACTTTGAAAAGCAGGACTGATTACTCCTATGATACCTTATTAATTATATATGATACCTTACTTTTTTCTTAAAGATTTTTTGTGAAGTTATTATTTTTTTAACATTAGGATAATATGTAATTGATATGTATGTGGGATTTATCTATTTTCCTATAAGGATATAAGTATTTTCGAAGTTCATTAGGTATAATTGAAATCAGAATTAGACATTCCATATTAATATTAGAACAAAAGAAAATCCATAGAACAACATAATACCTAACTGAAAGTAACATTTCCAATTCTTTTTTGTTATTATTTTTAAAGCAATTTCAAAATGTAAATGTTACTCTTTTTTTGTTATTTTGCGTGTTTGAAATGATTTTGATAATTTTTTCGCAATTAATAGACTGCTGTTTGTTTAAGGGGCAAATTTGTAATTTTATTTTTATTTTATTGTAGATAAATATCTCTGTATTCTTTATCTAGTTAAGCACTCAACTCACAATATTACGAGTTACAATTACAAACTAAATATTGTATATTATGTACCTACATCTAAACGTCGTGACAATATGTACAAACGTCGATGTAACAATAATGTCAATTTTCATTACTAATTGGTCACTAATGAGATTGTTGTTATTATTAGTAAATCATTATTAATTAGGCACATCTGTACCGTATGTGACATATTAATTCCTAATTACTAACAATTATCTTCTATCACACACAGGTCACCGGCCCGCTATAGCGACAAATACCCACCCTAATTAGGGTGGTAGAAGAAAGTATCATATAAACTTTAATGAGGTAAGCAAATTGACACACAAATTACTATCGTCTATTTTAATAAAACTAATAAAAATGTGAAAAAAAAATCGAATAATTGATCCGACCATAATAGTATGCAAATGCCGAATAGTAGTACAAATATTCAAGTAAAGAATTTCAATTAATTGAAATTCAAATATAATATTGATTATTTTGATTTATTAGTAATTTTATTTAATGTTTCTGTAATAATTTCAATTCATCAGAACTTAGTTACCTTTTCATTAAGTTGTATTTAAACAGATTATATTCAATTATAATTTTATTAAGATTTTATACACTTAGGTATTTTAAATGCAATAAGTGGTTACTCAACATCGAAAAAAAAATTGTTTTCAAAAAATATTTGGTTAACACTTTAAAAAAAATTAAAAACGTCACGTATCTACATGAGATACATGACGTTTTTATTTTTTTTTTTCAAACAAATGTGACATAAAAAGTTTGCAATACTTTTTTAATTTAATTTTAGATGGTATCCATGTACAATTTTTTCTTAATTTTTCAATTATATTTGAACAAATTTTTTAAATGAAATATAAAATAAGATGTACTCGTAAAAGTCACGACATCAAAAGATAATTTGTCGTAATTATAAATTTGAAAGCCTTTAATGAGAGAAGAAGATCAAAGAAAATATGAATAGATCATATGAAAACGGCACACGTAGGTGGATCTGGATAGAATACAAATAGCTATCAAATACCGGTCTCTGAATAAAATATTACGCCAAATAAATTTACTTAAGTCGATTAAATTATGACCTACAAAAATGTATGTCACATAACATGTTATGTTTGTGACATGTATTGCGACAAGTAGGTACTTTGGTAGAATTTTTTTCTAAGTCACATTAAAAAAAATATGGCGTATAAAAAATAAATATACACGTAACTATGTTTATATACTACTTATTAATGTTTTAAATACATTTTTTAATGGCAGGAAAAAATTCATTTTCAGAAAGACGTGCTCAACCGAATATTACTCAAGTGAGCAATTTTATCTAAAATTGTTTTTCAAAATTTACAAAATTATGAATGAAACACCAAAACTAGAACAAAAAATATCTAAAATGTTCCATGAATAGCTTCAATATAAAGTTTCAATTCAAAATATTTTAAGTAATTTAACTTTGGCTATTGATTAAAGCCGCTTTTTAAATAATTCAAAAAAATTATAAACATACAAAGTGTCACTGTCCACGATATTTTAATACAAGTCAGGTTAAACTTTACTAAGTCTTATTTATAACCGGGCAAATTATTTTTTACCCCATACTGCCATTTACCGGGATTATCTTTTGTTACGGGATAAAAACTAAGCACATATATATTTATGTCTAAAGTTAAAGCAAACAATATACGTTTACAAAATTTCATAACAATCACTTGACCGATTTTAGAGATTAGCAGGAACGAACATCGTGACATGGGATTTTGATATATTCATATTAAGTTAGATTACTGAAGAAACATATAAGTAGTACAATATAACCGGTATATCAAAATGACGTAGGTACAAGTAAGGAAGTTTCAATGAACACAAAGAATGCCAAGCTTTTCATATTATGTTATGAAATATTGTATATGTACTTATATAAATATTGTGAGTTATTAAGGAACATAGCTTTAATACACAGGATTTATTACAATCTCAAAGGTAGTAAATTATTGTTGTTACTAAGTGAACCATTTTCACAATAGACAAGACTATTGCAGGAGCAAATTCTACGGCGGTCTGCAATTTAACTCGTTCTTTATTATTAGATTAAATGAGGAACAGCACAAATTAATCATTTTTATTGTGAACCATAGTAGTATAATATAGTTACAAACTATATTTTAATGCCCTACATTAAAATAGTCTTTTTGATAAAAACAGTTATAAAAGTGAAGCACGTAGGCATTCAGGTAAAGAAAAATGTAATCGATCACCAGCGATTTAAAATCAAATGAGTTGTGTATCCTAATACATTAGTAAATGGTAATATTTTATTCCTAACATATGAAACAAATATAACAAAAATCGTTAATGCCTTTGTGCATTTCAAGTATCTATACCTAGTAGACTTTACTGCAAGTACGTTGATTAATTAATCTCATATACCTACATGGGTCTGAATAGATATGGTGACTGTATGTGCTTTATGCATATAACGATATTTAAATAACAGCATTATAGAAAGTATTTTCTAAAAGATTATTTCGGAAAATTTTACAAATAAATAGTTTTTGTAACATCAAATTAGTTTTAGTATAAACATAATTATTAACGATACTTGCATTATATTCTAATAAATATTATTTGAATTGAAAATATCAAAGCGGGTGTGTTTTGGACATGCACCTAACTATAATTACTGGAATATTATAATATTAATAATATTTGTATACAAATTTTCAAATATTAAATAACCAAGAGTCTAATCATATAAATGTTAAACTATATAAGTAACGACTTAGTACTACAAACTATTGGTAAATTTACTAATGATTATTATTATTATATAAATTCTTGCATCGTCACTGTCATTTATTTACCTTTAAACTTATGATGGATGACTTGATAATAATAGTTATAAGGTATTCATTAAAATTTACTTAAATAAATTATTAACAATAGTTTATTTAAGTAAAAAGAAAAATTGAGATTTTGAAATCTGTCTAAAAGTAGGAGTCACTTAATAAACTAATATTTAATGCCAAATTTGCAAATTAAATATGATTACCCGTTTACATAATTATTAATGTGGCTCTGCTTCACTACGATAAGTAAATAAATGAATATCATAATAATTTGTTATTATTCTACATTAGCCCATTCTGCAAGAGTCAGCAATGAAAATTAATATTATGATTTGAGTGGCATTTTAAAGTTCAAAGCACTATATCGTGTGACTATGAATACCCTATGTTCAGTAAAACTGTAAAGTAGACAGATAATTATACCAACTTTTGAAACTAGTTCCTTAGAGATTTTGTAAACTGTCCATTCTACTTAGTGATTTATTTAAACTGATTAGTTTAACTACGACTTCTCTCGTGTAATTGGAGTGTGATATTTCACCGGAATAAAAAGCAGTCTAATCTTAATTCTAAAGACTATGGGACATTCTATTATAGAGGGAGACTTTGTACAAAATTAGTTTACTTGGGCACCTCTCATTTGTGTTTCTACTGTGAAAAAGTTGTGGCTGTGTTTCGGTTTGAAGGGTGGGATATGGCAGCGAATTTACAGGGTACAGAGGAATAACAGCTGAGTCCTCAGAGATGGCAGCGCATGGGGGTATCATGGGCGAAACAGTATATATACTCTCTTATGTCCAAGGTACTGCTCATGTCTATAGGTGACAGATACCACTTTTAATTAGGTGGGCCATCAGCTTGTTTGCCATTTTAAGTTGCAAAAAAAAAGAAACCAACTAAAAATTTAATCAACTGGTTGCAGGTTTAATGTTCAATTGATTAGTTATGATGCCAAACAATCTTTTATATGTGTAATATAACAATATTTGTAACTAATTAATAATGTTATGATAGTAAACAAGATCAATAAGTAATTAGTAATCAAATTATTACTCAATCCCAAATCCTACTAATATTATGAATTGAAAGTCTGTAAAAATTTTACTATCTGTTTATTTATTTATTTAGGATTACCAACATAAGATACAGCGAAACATTTCGATGCATTACACTAGTGGATTATGGATTACTGTTCTTACATTTTAAGGCAACCACAGCATGCGTGTTTAAATGTTAAAATAGAATTAAATTATTAAACAATTAAATGGCTTCAAATTAATAAAAACAATAATTTACATTCATCCGATGACACCCAACAATTCAAATTACTCAAATTAAATTCAAAATAAAAATAAAACGTAATAGCGAGGTACATCAACTTTTTAATTTAGACATGAACACAGAGTGTTCTCTGTTACGCAATCGCTTTATTTGTTTGGAATTTAAATGGAATTTGGTACACGGGTGCTATCTATCCTAACTTGACAAATAGGATACTTTGTATACTGGTAACATGGACAAAGCCTCAAGAAATTGCTAGTTAAGTTAAAATAAACATAAAAACAAATGCATGTGTTAGTTATTGAAACTCAACTATAAAATTAATTGTACATTATTTTATGGCCTCCATATTTTTTTATAAGGTACAGTCATGTTAAAACCACATCCCAATTGTAAAATAATAAAACATAATAATAACACATCATGCCAAAGATACATTGCCTCCTTTTCTTTGGCAGACGGATAATGAAGCATGTTAATTAAAATTTTCTTTAACATCAGTTAGCGGAGACATTTACTAAAAAAATATAAGAAAATGATGAAAGGAAAGGAATGGGTCTTGTTGGATGTTAATGCTGGAATTTTTTTAAAAGAACATTGATATATTTTTATATTTTTTGTATATCGACGCAAAGGAAATGTGCAAATATTTTTAAAAGTCTCTTGCTGGAGGCAAGACGTAATTTAATGGATGGATACAAATCTATATTCATTTTGGGCTCTTTTATAATTTATCACAGTACGACACAATATCATATGATTTTACAGCCACGATAACAAAATATATAATATGGAATTTTATGCAAATACGGAAATTTAAGCCTCTTCATACAATTGCATTTATTGTTCTTTTATTTAATGGTAAGGGTACTGCTTTATTTCTACAAAATAGCTGAAAACGACAAACAAATATTGGTAGTTCCATTTTCTATTCTCATTACATATTACATAGTTGTGATGCATAATGTAAATTTATTTAGATATCCGTCTGACAATTCCACTTGTCTGCGTATTCAATTTCGACGAAACTGAACGACAGAATGTATTCAATTACCTGTCGCCTTCATTCTTTATCGACTAACTTATTATATTTCAACATATTTTGAATATATTACAAATATACAAGTAAATATTCAGAATAGTTATTTTAAACACAATTTAATGTAATTTCATTGAAATTCCAAACTCTCTTACAAATGGTAAAATCAAAAACATAATTTTGTGCCAACGAATATCAAATATTAAAAAAAGTATTCAATTTTTATGTTTATGATTAAAGTACCTGAAAATGTTTTTTCTAACTTAGGTCGGATATAACGTAACGTACCTTAATTTGAAAGTCTGACAAATTAACAATTTGTTTATTTAACGTATCTATTAAAAATGTTAAAAATACTATACAATCATTCTAGTCTCATGCTCACACTAGATTACCTTGTATTATAAGGGACCAGAAAATTAGTACACGAGAGTTACCACTTCGAATAACCAGAACGAGACCACTTAAAAAAATTGCTGCCTAATATCGAATTAGGATGCATTAATTAAATATATGTTGACATTGAAATTCGTTATAAAACTTTTCGAATATTTAAACGTAGTTAATTCAGTGGTTAGTTTATATATTGATCTATTGATCTTCCGTAAAATAAACTTATTTCTGTAAAGTATAGTAAAATCATTAAATTTTTTTTTATATTAAATTATATTATTTTTTTTATACCTTTGTTCTGTGATGCATTTTTTTATTTACTTTTTTTTATTTACAGTAGTAAATTTACAACTAATTGTACTTATTTTCGTACTGCGTTAATATTTTTAAACTTTGTAATTAGGGAGTTTGTATACTTTTATTTTAAATAAACAAAAGAAAAATATTTATATTACATTTATAGAAGTATATATTTCTTAAGCATTTTTCTCAAAAATCCATATACACAAATAAGTATGTAGTTTATTGCGACTAATCTATTTTTATTTATTTTTCAGGTGACTACGCTCTCTAATATAAGACATCAATATTATAGAATAATATAAGGATAAGTATAGAAAAATGTACTGTAAGATTTACAATAATTGTATGTTGTAGATGTTTTTAATATGATTGTCAACTAGTTTTTGCGTCTCTTGAGCCAAGACGCAAGACCTAGACAAAAATAAAACTTAACGCATTTTCTAAGGTAGGTTTAATTCTGTATAAAAGTAATTTTAATTTAAAGAAAGTAGGTATTTTTTTACTTCTAGGGTCCAAAGAGTGATTTTATTATTAATTGAAATGAATAAACGAATTTGTCTTATTTCATATAGATATTGCATTTATACGTTATAAAACTTGTAAATAATAATATTGTCCCACAAATTATTTAATAAGTAGACATTATTAATGGCAACTTTAGTGAATATATTTTTTTTATATTTTTACGAAATCACAAGAGTGTACCTAATGATTCATCGTGTATCTAGTGTCTAATAGTTTTTGTCACCAAATACCTATTAATTAAATTCTACCAAATGATGTGTGTTCGTCGTTCTCACGTGTTTTATCGCTCTGAATGCCAAATTACACCAATTACATCAGTTTGTAGTTTTATTTCCTCAAATATTTTACCATCTAACTTTATTTTCATATTAAATATCTATTTTAATAAATATACTCTCGACTATAATCTCTATAAGGATAGTCAATAAAATGTGTCGACTGCCTCCATAACAGTTGATATGCTCATATTTCATAGAGGATATAAGAATCCCTCATATAACAAGAATAAACCAAAATAGTTAGGTGAAAGGGTGCTAAACTGGAAACCCTGCACTCCTCTTTTCTAGCACCCTCCTAGGGGTCGATCATCTGAATGATATGCGAATGATATTCGCCAGCAAACCGGGACCAAGTGGATGTAAGTAGCAAGGGATAGAAAGATAAAGAGGAGGCATAAGTCTAAAGCCGAACGCGGCCAGAGCTTTCATAAGTATATATGTATAGATAGTGGTATAAAAAAAAGAGTTACTCGGATTATTATAATTTGTTGTCGGTATGTTCACACAAAATTTCTAATACCGACCGACCAAATCCAAACTCACACTGAGATCTATATAGGGTTAACATACTACTTAAGGCTACGACATTTAGAATACAATATAAAACGTGAAAATTTAAAATCACTTAATACACAAAAATCATACAGGGAAATTGATAACCCGAACAAACAGTACCGTTTATAACATAGTATAATTTTTCTCACTATATATATATATATATATATAATAAATATCCTTATCCCAATTATTATTTGGGGTCGGCGTAACGCGACGGCGTGACGTCAACCCTCTTTGGAAATAAAAATAAATTTAAAATATACATATATATACCATATATCACATTAAATTTCTTTAACAAAAACAGTATAATAAAAACAAAAGTCATAAACTCATCACAGATAAAAAATCATGAGATTAGTTTTTCATAAAAGCAATTATTGGTATTTTCTTGAAGAAGTGGAATAGCTGGAAAAGTAATGTTAAGTATCGTAATAAATCGTATACATAAAAAATTATAAAATTTCTAAATATATTATTTTTCTAAGTCAAATATGATAACATATGACTCTAAAAGTAAGATGTCATAAATATATTAACAGTTCATTCGCTGATTGACATAGATTGAACAGTCTATACAATTATCGGTTTATGTTCATATTATATTTGTACGAGTCAACTTTTGTCCAAATACCGTAAACATGTCATTACAACCGTCTCACTGCAAATATGGCGCAGTAATTTAATGAATCTCAAACATTACGTAGTCTAGTTTTTGAAACGTACGAAAATGTTTTGATAATAACAGTCTTGACTTTGCCCATAATGTAAGTAAGTCTATATGTTTAACACAGATAAAATAATTAATAGTACGACCTTATTGTCTTCATTTTTATGCCTTTTGTTGTAGCTTGCATAACCCAAATCCTGCAAACCTTCATCGCTAGATTTATTGTAATAAACTGTAGCATATTTATAGACTAAATAATGATATTAAAAATATGACAGTTATAAACTATCAAAATCTAGAAAATTTAAAGCCCCACATGTTTGAAGAGATTTATCGACTTCGATCGATAAAAATTCATTTTTCTATTTATACCTACTACGCACGTGTGATACAAACTATTTTCAAGAAATATAAAGACAGAATCATGGGATGAGATAAAATAAATGAGTGCCCCACCGGGATTAAAGTCTGATGTATTAGAATTCATTGAAATTAAAAAGTGCCAAAAAGTTTTAAAGAATTACTAAAAACCATTGAGTTATCATACTGTATTTAAAAGTCGCTAGATTTTGCAAAACTTAACGACACTGTACTTGAGGAGAATGATTGCATCCAATCTTGGTGTTCACATGTGATATGATGAACAGTTTTTATACTGCATTAAATACCTGTTTTCAGGGTTAAAATTTAATTGTAATCAGTCGCACGATTAAATGATTTGATACGATATCACCACCGAGTGATCCCACGGCCGATTTCACGGACATTACGATTATAGCCCTGTGTATGTATTACCATAATAATCTAGTCTAATCTAGAAGTCACGTAGACTTCTCTACATAACTTTCTACCGCCACCTTTCTACGATCATTTGACATAGTGTTAGTAACCGAGAAACGTGATTTTTGTAATACTGGAGTACTGATCAATAGTTTCAGGGTATGACATGACAGGTAAAATAACGAATCGAACTTAACTTTTGTGTTTGACTTTCATGAGAAATAGTAGTAACAAGTAATCAACACGATAGACTTCAAATACTATACTCAAATCTGCGGCCTATTTAATACATTTGTTGTATTATAGAAAAAAGAAAATTATTACTTGATATGTCCACGACTTTTTTTTTCAATCAATCTTTTTATTAAAAGTAAATAAATAAAAATGCTCACAAGTAATAGGCGTGGTAACAGTAAGTTAAGGTCCTCCTCTTATGAGAAGACACTTATGCTCAGTAGTGAGTTGTTATAGTAATGACTACAAATTTACTTTTTAATTTGGTACCTAGTAACATACAAGTACATACATATCACGTACAAACAACGTATATTAATAATACCTATTAATGATGAATAAAGAAACATTACAGTACATATACATTGTCTAATTACAATGTTCTTATATTTATGTAAATAACAATAAATTACGAGATATTTTCGCCAAGTCCGAATGGATTTGATGAATTTCTTTAATCGATAAGATTGACTTTTATGTTGGTCCATATTAATTTTATCACAATTGTAAATAAAAACCGCAAACAAATATATGTGGAACATAATCCTACGTAAAACTTTACCAATCAGCATAACATTATTACTTTTATTACTTCCATGTTATCCATTTAGAAGTTTTATGAATGTTTCTTATTCCGTATAGTAGTTCTTTTATTTATCATTTCTTCTATCTAGTTTATTGGTTCTCCACTCATAAAATATATAAATGCAACTCCCATCAAACGAGGTGTCGGACCATCTGACGGAATAAATAATGGTACCATCCGTCCTCCTACGTCACAAGAACGGTCCAATTTGCGACATAAGAGAAGGTTCTATTCATTGGCAAATACATACCTACAACGGTGCCTATATTTCAATTAGTTTCTTTGAGGTAAGTTTATTTCAAAGAGAGCTAATAAAAATAGTTACAGGTACAGTCGACTACCTTTGAAGATTGTAAAAAATCGATCGAAATAAGAGATACAGTTCTAATTTTCTAAATTATTGTTTCATTAGCAGAAAGACCAACAAAACAAAAAAGAAACGTTAATAACTTTAATAATTATTCTACAATATTTTATTACTAGTACATTCTCGCAATATTTTTCATAAAATAGAATGCAGAGACATTGTACTATTTATAGATGACCTAATAATCCTTAGAAAAATAACTAAAGCGATAGAAATAACAGCGCTTATTATTTATAAAAAAAAAAATCTCTTAATTTCTCGATACCTAAATTAATAGCAGGTTTTTAGAATATATGTATTTAGATACGAAGACTTTTATTGGACGTTGTAAAATGATGTTAGAGTGAGAGAGTTGAGAGACAAATGTAATTGAAAATTTTACTTTGAAATGTTTAAATGTATTACCATAATCACATATAATAACCCATAGCTAGCTTCAGCTCCACATTAGTGATGTGCCGCATTAGGCTGATTCGAGTACTAACTCGATACCAAGTTGAATACCTACTAATTACTTCGATATACAATATACAAAATTCGGATACACGGTACTCGAATACTAATCGCGTCATTCTCGTAAGTTTTTATACCTCTGTCTTATCTTTTCACAAATTCCGATATTAGTAAATGACTAAACATCATTCTACATGAAAAATAAGCTAAAGAAATGATTTAAATTGAAACATTACTCGAGTCTAATTAAGTACACGAATACCAATATAATACAAGTACTCGAATACTTCTCCGAATCATTTGACTCGAGTTAAGATTTTTTTTAATGAGTACCAAAATACCCAAATAAAAAGACTGACTCGTGGTGAGAAGAGAATATACCTTACTATCGACGCTCTGACTAGGTTGCTTAGTATAGCATTTTATTTCGAATTTCCCTTCTCTTGCAGTAGTGTAATTGTATTTCGTTCCCGTAATAGCCTCTAATGACTTCCTGAGAATAAAAAGGTGTGGCGGCACACTGTAATCTTACTCCGTCGCCATACTTCATTATAATGTATATTTAAATATTAATATTTGATTTTTTGTTTGTTTGAATGAAAAAATAAATGAAAAGCACTTTATTGTTTCCTCTAAATAATAATACAAATTACATATGTTATTAGTTTGTTGGATTATAATCAAGAAACTGAAAAACTACTAGATTGATTTTAAAATTTTTTTCACCTGTAGAAAGCTACATTAGCGACGAGTAACATACGCTGTATTTTATTTATAAAAAAAATGTGTGAAGTCAGAATATGTTGCTTGCAATCTTACATTTTCACGTAAAAATCGGAATTAATTCAGTATAGCCTTTTAATAAACACAATGTGGAAATATTTTAAATACTATAGAGATAATTGGAGTTTAATAAAAATATATCCATGATAAATTATTGCCTCGGTAATTACAGGATCCTATTGAGTGCCTCGATATGGTATTCGTCAATTTTTTTTTTATTTATAATAACATTATCCCAGTAAAACATGTATATATTAATACAATTTTAAGTATTCCATGCATGCAAATGGTAATTAAAAACAAATCGTTGTTTCTAAAAACCACCCTTCTACGAAATATCCCTTAATAACTATATAATTAGAGTATTTATAGAAACATCAAATTATGGGTTATTCTTGGTATAAAAAAAAAGATTTTATGTTTCTTTTTTTTATTGCCTTATTTTACCGTGACTATTAAATGTTGACGTCAAGATTTCTTCGTTACTTTCACAAGCCCTTTATTTTTTATTACATAAAAAAAAATGGATGTACTAATAAAATGCTATATAGTTTTCAACAATTTTTTAAAGATATTTAGATAAATATAAGAATTTAAAAATAATAATA